GTAATTTCATTTAGTTACCTGGAAAAATCAACATTCTTGTGGTAATTTTGATATTTTTTTTCTGTTGAATCAATTTGTTGTTAATTCCAATCGTGACTTACCTTTAATTTGGTTTCATCTTTTATTCTGATTCTTACCTGAGTTTTTAAACAACAATGAACACTCAAAGAGACTCTTGTTTGGATTCAATAAGTTACCTGGTTGATTCTTAAATAATTCCAGGTAAGTTCATGTAGAGTTTTTTTTTCTAAACACAAATCGTGTTCATCTTCACACTGGAATAGCCTTTAAAGATCATCTTCCTTTTTTTTCTTCATCTTCTTCTCATCTTCATCTTCTATTTTTCTCAGGTAATCTTATCTTCATCCTCTTCTTCCTGATTCTTTCAAAGTATCACCATGATGGTTGAAGGAAAGTCTCTCATTCTGAAGATTCTGTTGATCATCATTCTTGGCTTCATGACAACTCTTTCTCTCTCATTCATCTTCTGTTATGAATCTCATCTCATCATCATGATAAAGATGATAATGATAATGTGTCCGGTGACGATGATAATGGTCAGTTTTCAATTCTATATGTTCATCATCATCATCATGTTATTTTGAGTTGAGATTTTTTCCTCTATTCACTTTTAATTCATTTGCTGGATACGATTTGAAGTAATCATTTTTATCATGGTAATTAGATGATTTATAAATTGTAACAATCAAGTATGATGATGACAAGAATAGAAAGTTAATCATGATGATTTAAGTACAATCGTTTCATAAAAGATGATATAACTTATTGTTTTGTTCACTTTCTCTTCAAAATCTATTGTGAGTTATAGTTGATTGTTGATTACAATCAGACTTGAATGATGATTAACATGATGATGATTATCTTGATTAACCACTGATTATCATGATTCGTTAATCTTGTAACTGTATCATGTTAACTGTTGAATTTAAAATGGACATCAAGATTATCAACAACAACAAAAAAAACTTATTCTTTAAGTATAATGTTAATCATTTAGTTAATCACAATTGCGACCAAACTTAGGATTTAAATTTAATTGTTGAACCATTTGATGTGGAGAAAAAATTTAAATCACTTTAGCCTGTTAATCAATTCACTTTCTCGCAATCATAACAATTAGCTTATTAGTTGCCATCATTAACATTTAATTGTGATCGACCCAATTTCCAGGTTAATTTAATCATTATTCAATTTGAAGAGATTGATCAACACAAATCAAACAATTAACATCAATTGACAATTGATTAACCGCAATGATTAGTTTAATCAACTTTAATTTCTCACGCAAATAATAATAATTGATGATGATAGTCAAATGAATTGCCAATTAATTAACCAATTAAACTAATTGTCAAAAAAAATATTCCAACAAAAATCAAAAGTTAATTTGATTTATAATCTGCTAACATTATAACAGTTAATATCTATGGGTGATTATTGTTGATACAATTAAGTAATTAAATACAAATTAAGACATTATATGAATATTTTGTCAACCATATTAATGGTAGCAATTAGTTAATTAGTTGTAATTAGATTTTCTTTAATTAACTAGAGCAAAACATTTTCACGAGAAAAAAAAAGTAATTCAACAGAAGAGAAAAATTAACCTTCAATCACAATTAGCACTGACAATTATCATTAATAAGCAACTAAATCATCATCTAATTGTCATAAAGCAAACAATCAACTTCATGGACAATTAATTGTCTATGAATTTAAATTGGAACAAAAAAAATTCTTATAAATAAACAAAAAGAAAGAATGAAAAAATTAGTTTCGAAAAGACAAAATGAAAATATAATCTTTTCGTTACAACGAACCTAACGTTCACCCATCGTTACCCACGTTTCGAGTAAAAGACAAGGTTATTAATGCGATTTCCATAAAGTGGGTGGTGGAGGTTGACTTCCTTTCTCTTTCTCTCTCTGTCTCACTCTATCTTCCGCTCTCACTTTTTCCACCCTCACCATGATAAACCTGAAGGAAGAGAGAGAGAGAAAACTCAGAGTGGGAGTGGAACGAGAAAAAAAAAACGAAAGCGAAAAAAACTCCGCTCGAAACAAGATCATAGTTCCAATGTATTCGTTACCATGTAGAGAGAGATTAATAATATTTTTCCTCTTCCACCTCCGATCTTAAATTGATAATCAATATTATCTATTGGGAAGGTTACAATCAGTTAATTAACTAATAGCCAACACATAATAGTAAATGATTATCAGTGATTTGTGATTGATTAATTTTCTGCTCACTGATTGACATTGTAATCAACCTACGTTAGTTATTGGAAAGTTAATCAAATTGTTTCATTGGTTTTTCATTTTCTAAAAATGTTTCCATCATTTGATAATTATATTGATTGTTACATGATATTATCAAGTAATATCATTGGCCTTAAGGCTTTATCATCATCTTCATCCTCATCCTCATCATTTGTTTATCACTGGTTTGATAATTTAACATTTAATTGTTATCCTTGGTTTCCACCTAAGCAAATTAACCAACAACAACCAAATTAATCAACAACGTCAACAATTTGTAAGCCTACGTTAATTTTTCATTGGAAATTGTTTAACTTTTAATTCAGTTGAACTTGTGATAATTGTGATTCATTACCAGTTCTGTAATTAACCATGGATACATATTTTTATTACTTTAATCATGGTAACAATCAAGCTAATCATCATTTATCTGGTGACTGTTCATGTTCATGTTTTACTTGTTTATACAAATTGGATTTAATTTTCTTACTAATTGTTATCTATTTACTATTAATGGATAAAATTACAATTAATATCAATACTAACGGTCAACTACCATTAGTACCAATGGATAATAATAATGATAATAGTGATACGTTTGATATTAGTGTTGATCAAGACCAACAAAGTTCATCCTCATCTTCATCAGCTGATGAATCAAAATCATCATCACAAACTAATGAAAGTCCAGAGAGTTTAAATTCAACTGTATCTTCATCATCAACAATTTCAATTGGGAGAAAGTTAATTAAGCCTGAGATTAGTTTAGATTTTCTTGATTTATCTGATGATGAAGAAAATTGTGACTCAGAAGATTCTGAAAGTTCTGAGGATTTTACTCGTGATGTTTCATTGAGTGAAGAAAATTTTCCAAATTCAAGAGTATCAACGATCAGAATTTCATCTAAATCATTTAATTGTCAACAAAATCATCGTCATTCTCATTCTCATCACCAGCATTTTGGTGTTAAGAGACAATCATCTCTCGATTCAAGTGATTCAATCTCATGGGATGAATCAGGTGAATCTGGAAGCTCATCATCGGGCTATTCATCTTTACCCTGTAACCTTATCGATAATGTTTATGTCCATGAAGCGGCCGAAGTTAATTGTCCATTTAATTTATCTTTAACTTTCACTGAACTTGGACATATCCGGAAAGCATTGGCTCGCGAGGAACTGGACTCAATGTCCTTTACCCAAACAGTTCGTGAACAATTAATTCGAGGTAAATTATGTTCTACCTGTTTAAAGACTCGATTCAAATTATTTGGACCTTGGGCTGATTGTTGTCGACTATGTGAAAGGCCAGTCTGCTCTCGATGCTCATCAAATGTACAAATTAATGCCAAACGTTACAATTCAATTCCAATTCAATTGTTGGTGCCAAATAACAATCAACGTAAAATCATTAAAACAACACAATTAAATTCATCTTCATCTTCATCGATTTCATCGACAACAACAGTTATTGCCAAGATTAAGGTCACCGATGGTCATCATCATGATGAGAAACAATCATCAATCAATACTGAGCCCACAAGTTTATCCTCATCCTCATCCTCATCACTTAATCATCACAATCAGATGAAAGAATCAAAATATTCAAGATTAAGATTAAAATCTTTACCATGGATTAGGAAAACCTCATCATCTCATTCAAACATTTCAGATGAAGATAATCCTTCACCTGATGATGATGATAATAATAATCATCAACATTCAATGTTAATTAAATTGTGCCTTGATTGTGAATTATTTTTCCTCTCAATGTTGACAATTTAGAGACGAAAATCATAATGATTAACTAATCTTCCTGCCGGTTTTACAATTAACCTGAAAACAATTTGATTCCTTCTTTATGCCAATAAGCTTAATCTTCAATGATCTCAAACTTTGTAATCTAATTGTAACAATTAACAATCAAACTTTGTGTTTGTTGCCAAAACAATCAACTAAATTGTAAGATAATATCATTAACTTTGTGGTCTAATAATAAACAATCAAATTGATAATAAAATTATTCAAATCAATTGTTAAATCTTTTTACAATCGTTCAATTGGATTTACATCAACGGTGATTATAACAATTTAAACCAGTGATTATTGTTAATTGTTGTAACGACAATTTAAAGGATGAGGGATTGACCTTGGTCAATTATTATTACTATTATGATTAAAGCCTTGTAAATGTCCTTAAACCCCATTCAATTGGATTAGGATTAACTTTTAATTGTCTTAAGAAAAAAAAACAACTTTAAGATTCAATGATTTGGTTGGTTGACACATTGAAGGTTAGGATAAGTTTCTTATTTACAATTAAGTTAATTGTGATTAAGGGGAAATCTCTTAACACTTGATAAATTATGTAAAGAAAATTATCTCAATACAAACAAGAATTAGTTAATTATTGAAGCTTTACAATCCATAGACTTTTTTGTTTGACAAAAAATAAACAAGAAAAGAGATTCAAATTGTTGGTTAATTGTTATTAGAATCACAATTAGTAAATTATGAGATGTTTATGGTTGGTTAATTTACTCTGGAATAGTTTGTTAACTTGTTTCTCTTCATTGATTAGTTGATTGTTAACCTCGAATTGACCATAAATAGTATTTAAAAGTTTTCGATCTTAAATTATATAAACTTTAATTAACCTTGATTGTTGAACTTTTTTGTGGGTTGATTGTTGAATTAAATTGATACACTGATTAGTTTGATAATTTTGTCTGTTTAATAATAAACTTTAGTTTTTTGTTATTTACAAAGGGTGTTAAGAGAAGTTGATTAGTTAATTGTTTCAATCTTAATTGTCTTCTCAATTAGGGAGAGTTAGGTAGTAATAGTTTTTTTTTATATTTACAGGAAAAAAAAAGATTTTATCATTAAATTGTTGTGATGATAACTAAGTAACTTTTTGTTGAGATGACAATTTAAACTCTTAATTGTTGCTTTCCATTATTTCTTAATTGTCTTCTCAATTAGGGAGACTTCTTGGAACTTGATAGAAAAGTCCAATCCCGTACGAGATGTTAAATTGTCCAATGATCAGTGGACATCATTCAATTGGTCAGTATTGAGAAATTTGGTGAGACTGGACATTTATGATGATGGAGAGGAAATAATAATTTGTGAGTTAATTGTTTACTTTTATATCTCAACTGATTTTCTCTTGATACTTTTGAATTTTGAATGGTTTCAAAAGTAAACAGTTAAATCGGGTAGATTGGCCTTTGGTTCGTTATTCGATGATAGTCCGTGGTGATGTGTTTGACCTAAAAATGTTGACCTTCTAAAAGGTGTAACACTTACATCGGGATCCAATTCTGTCCTTCGAAAATCATCTGATGATCTTAATCCGTTTGAATCATTGGATGAATTGTTTCGTCTTCCAAAAGTATTATTATTATTGTTGTTGTTATTATTTGTGGCAGCAAATGAATGATAAACATTTTTATTTGATTCCTCGAAATCGTTTGCCGATGTTGAATCAAATGAACTATTGTTACTAACACCATGGGTACGGTGATTGTTGGAAGTTGATTTATTAATATTGGCATAATTGATTATCGTATTATAGCCAAATCTTTCATCTTCCCAGGTTAACTTTTTAACTCTTCGAGGTATTGAACCTTGTGGCCATTTAATTAACGATATTCTTGATGCGGTTCCTCCTCCCGTTGTTCCGGTTGTGGTACAAGTTATTGATGGAGGTGGAGGAGGACTTAGAGATCGATTATCATTATTGTTATGATGATGATGATGTTGTTGTTGTTGTTGGTGTGAAAGTTGATGATGATTATGGTGATGAAGATGAGATTCGGGTGAGGTTAAATCAACTATTGAATCTGATGTTTCCTTTTGCTGGCGGTGTGTTGATGAATTGGATGATGTTGATGAGGTTGATGCAGATGATGAATTTGACCCATTGTGTGGGGCATCGTTTGATGAAGATGCATCACTGACTATAGCTGAATCTGGATCAGATTTACCTGAGCCAGAAGATGGTCCATGTCCTATTGAACGATTGTCACCATAATAACGAGAGGTAAGATTATTTGGTAAAGTATTGGTATTATTATTACCACCGCCATTGGATAGGTTGAAAATTGGATTTTCAACTCCATTGGTTGATAATAAACCACCAGTGGGTAATGTTGAGGTGGGACCGAATAGGTTAGTTGAATCGTTGATTATTGTATCTGATGGACTAACTTTAGATGATTTTTTGGCTAATGAAGAAATGGAAAAACCTCCTCGAGGTGAGGGAGCATCAATTTTACCATAGATTCCTGATGATGGATGATGAAGAGATGAGACATGATGATGATGATGAAGATGATGCGAGGAAAGTGAGGTAGGAGGTGGTGGTGGATGAAGATGCCCTGAATCGGTTGATGAGGCACATGAATCAGTTGATGTTGATGATAGTCCAGATGATGAGTGAACATCATTTAATTTCCTATGGCGAACAAGGTGAACTGTTAATGTGATGATAATGATGAAAAGTGTCGCTAAAAGAACACCTAAAACGATAACAAGGACAATCGCTGAATGTCCGGTTGTATTAAAAAGAGAAGACATATTAACACCGGATGATCGGGCACGACCATCGATATCTTCAACATCACCAAGTAAATCGGGATCAGTTGATTCACTTGGATCACCAATGGCTCGAGCTAATCCCGTTTTAAGTAGATTCGGTGAAAATTGAACGGTAACTGGGACACTTGATGATCGTGGTGGTGAACCCGAATCAGAGGCCATTACAATTAGATGAGCTTGACTTGTATTTAAACCTTTAAGAGAGGTTATTGATATTTTACCATTTCTATCGATGGTAAATGAACGTGCAAATGGACCTTTAACCGTAAAATCTAGAGTGTCCCCTGTATCTTTATCGGTTGCTTTTACTTCACCGATTATTGATCGACTGCGAAGTCCAGATTCTGAGTTGACAAAGAATGTATAATGTGATAGAGAAAATTGTGGATCATGATCGTTTACATTGATCAATGAAATGTTTACACGAGTAACATCACTTTGTTTTCCATCGGAGGCCATTACACGGAACGAGTACCAAGGTCTTAGTTCATAATCTAAAGGTTTTTTAACAATAATTTCACCATTGGATCGGATTCCAAAATGATTACCTTCATCGTCCAATAATTGATAGGTTAAACCTGAGGAAGAGGAAGTGGAAGTAGAAGTGGAAGAGGATGAAGATGATGATGATGCTGGTCGATTAGTTGATTCGATGACCTCTGTTGTTGCAGGTCGCCCTGATATACCAATGGTTAAAAGGACTGAGCCGAGAGGAACATTTTCTAAAACTGAGACGGAATAATTTGATTTAGTGAAACGTATTTCAGGAAGAATTGATTCTCGGCGAGATAAAATTGTCACAGTTGTTAAGGCATAACGATCACGATTATCTGTTTGTGTCGCTCTAATCACTAAGGTTAAAGGTAACGTTACGGTTGGTGGAAGTGGCCTTTTAACCTTTATCGTAGCGTATTTAGGATCAATTAGAAAATATGAATATTCCCTTGAATCAGAGTTAAATGAATATTCAATGGGTGAATTTATCTCTGTGTCTGGATCAACCGCTCTAATAGGTTTTGGTTTGATTCCTAAGGGTTGACCTTCACGAACATTATCAGGAAGTACAAGGGAATATTTATCATCAAGAAAACGGGGATTTTGATCATCGGCATCGTTTACTATCACAGTGAGAGTTGTTGTTGCACTTAAAGGAGGTTCACCTTGATCCTGAGCTCTAATTGTTACCCAAAATTTGGGTAATGTTTCATAATCTAAAGGGCCGGTCAACACTAGATCACCGCCTAGTCTACCCCTGAAAGCGACAAGATGGGAAAAGGGTCCGGTTTCAATTGAATACTCGACTGTACTAAATGGACCCTGTGAATCGCCATCGTTGGCTCGGATTCGGTGGCCAGGGAAAAGTGATGATCCAGGTACAGTTACTTCCGAAATGTTTACAATATAAGGAGTACCTATGAATTCGGGTGCATGATCATTGGCATCGGTGACAATTATTCGAACTGGTATTATGATTGATGGATCAGTTGATTGAGATCTTTTTCTACATTTAACACCAATCACAATTCCTGATTCACCTTCACTTGATTCTTTATCCAATTTACGGATAAGAATTAAATCTTTGGTTCTTGGTTCAATTCTTATTGGTATATCACCGCTTTCCAACCTGTTAGCTGAATGATGCGGAGCTAAACTAAGCTCGATTTCACTTTCCGCCTCCGAAGATGTAGATACATTTCCAATAACCTAAATCAATAATCAAAAAACAAACAATTAATAAAACAAACAAACAAAAAACGCCAAAACAACAACAATTAGCAACCGAAGCCAAACGAAAAGTAAAAGTAATAAAGAAAAATATTACAATACAATCAATCCAAAAGTAACATTATCTTTGAGTCGAGGAAAACAGTACACAAATCAAAGGAAATCATGAGACAATTAATATCAAAATTAAAAATCAATTGAATTTCCTCGAGTCATTTAATTAAGAAAATCAATTAAACTCTTTGATTAATTAACCGATTTTTCAAAAAACAAACTGTTACTTTCTCCCACTAGGGTTCGTATGTTAATTGTGATCTTTTGGTCAATTCATTTGTTTTTGTTTCTCTTTGTCTAAGTTGATTAATTTGTTGATTATTTCCTTCAATCGTTGATTGTTAATTGATTTAAATTGTCTAATCACTTGAAGAGCTTCTGTGTTTCAATTTGTGAACAATTAAGGAAAACTAAAAGTAAAAGTGTTAATTAGAATGAAAAGATTTTGTAATTTCCTTGGTAACAAAAATGGCGACAAAACTGTTGAGTCAACATCCTTTTCCTATGGTTACATAATTATCGGTTTGTAAGGTAAGTTGATTAAATTGGTTATTCTTATTTCTAATTAGTGTTGTTGTTTTGTTCTATTTTTCTTTCAATTACATTTAGAAGGCGATTGTATCTTAATCAATAAGATTGACCATCAGTTTCTTATGTATGTGTTACTCTATGTGCTCAGGTAAAGTGATTGTGATTAGTGAAGCAAAGAAGACAAAAAGGAAAAATTTTTTTTTCTCCACCAAAAATGAGGAAGAAAAAAGTGTATGAAAGGTAATAGAAATGAAGATGGATGATAATGATGATAATGAGTAAGATGATGATGATGATGTCGATTCATTTAAAGATAACCTTGGTGGTGGTGGAAAGAAACCAGTGAAGATTTACGGTTGATTGTTTATTCTATCGTCATTATTATCATGTTGATTGTTTGCGTTTTACTGAATTCTTTTTTTTTCTCTTCTCTTTTTTTCTTACTCAGGTAAACTTGGTGATTGTTGCTACTGGCGTTTTGCTTACTACCTATTGTTGAGTTGATTTTTTTTTTCCTTTCTTCTTCTTATTCTACCCCCTGTACTTGGTTCGGATGCTGTAGTTAGTCCTGATTCCGGTTGACAAGAAGCCATAATGGGAAAAACGATGTACCCTGTTATCCCCATTAATTCAATCTTTCAACCGGTAACTGGTCGTGTGTTTGGATGTGATGAAGATTCATGATGATGATCATTGCTGAATATTGAAAAGAAGAGGAACTCATTCAAATATAATTTTCATCATTAATGTTTCTGATTTTTACGATAACGAAAAAGAAAAGAGAAAAGGTCAATTATTGAGATGATTACGTTTTCTTTTCTTTTCTTTTTCGATAATCACAAATCATCTTGAAAGATTATCTTCTTCTAATCTTTATCCTTCATCTTCACTGATTTTCTTTTCACGTTGATTTACTTTCAATTACTTTTAATTGTTGTAAATGTAAATATAATTGTATTTACGTTTCAACAATTAGAAAGTTTTCTATAATATAATATATTTTTAGCTAAATTTATTGAAACTAAATCAATACCCAGAAGAAAACAATAGTTTTATGGTTAATTAAATATTCCAAAAACTAAATCATCAACTAATCCATTCAAACACACACACACACTTTAAATTAGTTTAATGATTGTAAAGATTATATTAAGATTTTTAATCAGTTTCTCCAATTTTTTGGTGTTTACTGATTGAGCCTTTTATCCTAATTTCTGATGATAATGATGATGATGATTTAGATTTGGAACAATTAATTTTTATTGTTAAAAGTTGATTTGATTGTATGTTTGTGTTTTATGGATAAACAATAATATCACAATCAATTTAATTCAATGAATTAAATCAATTATCCATCTTTCTCTATTCTAGAATTGATTATATTTAAGATTGGCGTTGATTGATTTCTATTCTGATAAATAACCTTCATTATTATTTTTCTCCTTTATCATCACAGTTACCCTTTTGTGTTCAACATGATTCCCATCATCATCATCATCATCATCATCTTCATCTCATCATCATAGCTCTTTCTTTTCTCATCTCACAACTTTCTTCTTCTTCCTCATCTTTTTATCATCTTCAACCTTTTGGAACCGTAAAAGTCTTAACCAAATTGTAATCAATGAACCAGAATCTGTTGAAATTTGTTAAGAGAGAGCGATGGCCGATGATGATACCCTAAATTGTATCAAATCTGTTTACCTGATTTACTATTACACGAATGATGAGAAAAATGATCAAGAGGATTAAGAGGATTAAGATAATGATAACAAATTGATTGAAATTTCATCTTTTCCTTCATCAAGTGTCATTCATATAAAATTAACATCCTTATTCTCGTATTTATTTAAGATTAATAACCATTTAACCATTGATCGAATTGACCATTAATCGGTTAATTGTTTCAAAGTTAAATGTTATTTATAATCAACTTATTTTTCATGTGACAACATGGATTAAGTTAATATTTACTTAACCCATACAATTAACTCAATATTTACCTTAATTGTAACCATTATATTGTTGTATTTGTATTATCAATACATTGTAACCTAATCAAAGTTTACAATAAGAGACAAATCTTATTATTATTACTTAATTAACTTTTGATTGTCAACTTGATCAGCTAATAGATTTATAAATCTTTTATATTATCCTGTTGACAATTAAAAATTGAAACAATCTCATAAATTGATGAAAAAAAAAGTCAAGTTCATCAATTGTTAGTTAATTACCTATTTATTATTATTTAATTTTCATTTAATTTCTTCCTCTTTAAGTTATTTTTTTTTTGCTTTCTCACTTAAATTGTAACCATTGATTGACAAGTTAATTGTTTACTTGTGTTCCTAATTGATAAAGATCAACACCATCAACTTGTTTGATTGTTTCGTTAATGATGATATTGTTTTACTCCTTAATTCATCTTCATTGATCACAATTTAAAGACAATACAATTAAATTGTAGTTGAAGGAAAATGTAATCATCAATTGATGAAGAAGCAAAAAAAAATAACCTCCAAAAATATAATCAATAGTAAGAATTTAAAATTATTCATTGATGATTATATTGAGAATTTAAATTGATTAGTTAAATAGTTAAAGAAACACTTATGTCCAATACTATTAAATTGTTGATGATTAAATAGCTTTAACTTTAAAAAGAGTTTAAAACAATTTAATAGTAACTAAATTAATAATTAAACATAGAATCTTTTTAATTGTGTAGTGTCCAATTGACCTGTTTTCATGATTAAGGACAATTTAGCTAAATGAAAAAGATGTTAACATAATCAAGATAACAATTAACTGGGTAAAGGAGACAAGAAACTAAATTAAATTGTTAGTTAAATGATAACAAACAATTTAACTGTAAGTTTTATCATATATAAAACAAAATTTTCTGTCTGTTTATGAGCACAATTAACTTAATTGTAATCATATTTTAATCCATAACAAACGGAGGTAACTAACTTCCGATACAATTGGCCGCACATTTAGGGATGAATATAATATTTTATTCCTGATTATAACAATTAATTAAATTGTTATAATGACAATCAAGGTAACGGACATCAGGTTAACATAAAGATAACAACAATTTACTAATTTACAGTAGCAGAAACAACAATAACTTTAATTGTAAACGGTCAAACGTTAACAGTTAATTGAATTTGTTGGTTGACATTAAATCAGGGTGACAATTAACTAATACGACAGTTAAATTTGATTAACTAACTCAATTGAAATCAATGTCATCAATATGATTTAATCATATTGATCATCTGCCCACATGTATCATCTTGATTACAATTAACTTGACTTGTTATATTGTTGTTTTCCTTAATTTGATGAAAAATGAAATAATGAAAATTGATTGTAAAGCAATTAATTTAATTACCTGGAGAGTTCCAATTACTGAATTAATTGGAGTTGCTTCATTAACGGTAAATGTTTGTGATGATCCGCCATCTTTAAGGTAACACAGATCAGCTGAGTAAGATGATGATGAATCTGATGAAGATGATGAGGATGAGGATGGAGATGGAGTTGATGATAATTGATCTGATTTGACAAAAATATTATTAGGATTTAAAGTTAATTGTAAACAAATTAACATCCAAAGAAGCTTAATCACTGAAAGCATTGGCCTTAATTGTTGTTGGCCTTTAGTTAATTGTAACATATCGAGCCTTAAATAGTTGCACGAAATCATGATTATTTAAATTAAATTTAAAAACGTTTCAGTTGTTGATTAATTGTTGAAGGTAAATTGTTGTAAATTAAATTAATGGCAATTAAGGTGATGAGGATGCTCAAAAATGATTGAACAAATTTTCATATTGTTTGTTGTAAGGCACTTAAATTTTTGATATTTCGCGACGATTTAATTTAAATTATAACAATTAAATATCCCAAACCAAGATGAAAATAGTCCAATGTGTAAATTTAGTTAATTGTTGAGATGAAAATATTAAAAATCAGATTGAAAATCATCATGAGAATCAAATATTGACATGGTGATGATGATTATCCTTTTATGAAGCACTAATTAATCCGTAAAATTTGATTGACACAAACAACACTGAACACAAATGTAAACAATTAAGTTAATTGTGATGTTGAGTGAAAGAAAAATTAATCAATGTAATAATAAAATTACATTTGTTTCTGTTAAGGGTCGTCGATACCTTGGAATAGGCAAACGACCTGAAATTAACATAGTAAAAATCATTGATCGATTACAGAAATGATGATGAGAAGAGGATGATAACAAAGAGAAAGAAAGAAAGGGAGAGAGAGTGGATGATAAGAGAAGACAAGTTATTCTATTATCAATAATATCTTTTTGTAGAACATGCAAGATGAGGTAAAGGTGATGAGGATGGAGATGATAAGAAGAGGAAACGATAAAAGGTTAGGTTAAGTTCTCACACGAATGTAACGTTCCCATTGAGAGCAGAAATGTTTCTGAGCGATTGTAGTTTCGCTTCTTGTCAGATGGACTGTAGACAGGTTAGAACCCGGTTCAAGAAAGAGGGAGTGATGATAAGGATGATAAAAGGGGGAAAGAAAGGTAAGAAAGAGAGATGAGAGTAAGAGAGGGAGGGGATGAATCATGGGAGGAGTTTTTTTCTTACTATTGGGTTTAGGTTTTTGTTGTGAATGGTGAGAGAGAGAGAGAGAGAGAGAGAGAGAGGAAGATGATTTCTCTTTCTTTTTTATTTTATCTTCTCTTTCTACCTTTTGTCTGGATTACCTTTGGATTACCTTTTGTTATTGTTATCTCATTGTTGCTATTACAGTGATTCATTCATAGTTACTATCAATTTGCATAAACAGAGAGACAGTGGGAGAGGGAGAGTGGATAATGTAACTGTTGTGATGATGGTGGATGATGAGTGTGGATGGGAGAGAGATGAAGATGATGATGATATTAATGATGGGAAAAAAAGTTACATAGGGAAAATGATGATTGTGTATATGTGCGCGATAACAGGTAACATTAAGGTCTCCGTTTTTTTTTTACCTGGTTGTTGATTGTTGCTCCTTATTTTTTTCATTGATGTTTTATTGTCAACAATTAGCTAATCATCATCATTAGAATCACTAACTGTGTTTGTATATTCAATGTTAGTCATGTATTTCCGGCGGAAATTGTAAAGATACCTTTTATTTACCTGTACCATTAATACATCAACATGATTTACATTTTATTTTTACTCTAATTACCATTTGATTATCGTGATGATTTATTAAACTTGTACTAATCAGCTATATATTATTATACAAATTAAGGTTAATCTGATTAGATTAGCAAATTAGTTAATTGTTGTGACCAATTAATGGCAAGTTAATTGATTGTCCATCCTAGAAAACTGATGAACCAACGATGTCCATTTATGGGTCATTGTTGATTGTAATATTATTATTATTTAGAGAAAGATAATTGTGATTAAAATAAATATACAATTTAGATCAATTAATTCATTCAACTATCTTTAATCTGAATAATAATAACAATTAAAACTAATCAGCGCCTTAGATAAGTGACAATTTGATCAACACTCAATCAAAATGAGAATTTAACTTTTTGATTGTTGGACAATAACAATTTAGATAAACAAGAAAGTTTAACAAGAAAGTTACACAGATTTAGGACAATTAAGTTTACCGTTACAATTAAATTAAATTGTGTGAACTACTGATTAGGTTAAAAGTTTCAATTGTTACATTTGTTGTACATATTGATTGTCTTGATTGTCTCATTGTTATTCAATCAACAATTTAAATTGTAATTGTAAATACACTTTGAACACCCAAATATCATTAACATTATCCACCTCCTCCTCTTTGTCCACCCCACCCCACACCCACCACAACCATAACCACCATCACCTTAAGTATAACCTAATCAACATCTAATTATAACACTTTGAGTGTTAATCACTTATCAACAATTAATTTTAATTCAGTTGTACCATCATCATAATAATATAATCTGAAGAGGTTACATTTTCAAAATCTATCAACACTTATCAACCAATTGAAAACCTGTAGGTTGTTAAAGTGACAATTTGTTTATCATTTATTAATATTCAACAATCAAATTAACTGTCAACTTATTTGCTGGTTATCATCATAATCATAATCATCATCCTACTCATCTTAACAATTAAGCAAATCAATAAAAAAACGCGAAAAAACAATTGATCAATTATCAACGATCAACTTTTTTGATTAAACTTCCTACAATTAAATTAATTTGTTGATCAAAATTCACAATCAAAAAATGATTATAATCTATTATTAGTGATTAGATAAATGTAATATAACAATTAACACTAAATTAATATGAAATTTTGATACAAACATTGTGATCTTAATTGTTACTTTGATTTATAATTACTGATTAGGCTTTTGATTATTATATTATTGAAATTTAATTTCTTATTGTTAAATTGTAACTGTTTCTCATTGTGATTAACTGATTGTTCAACAATAAGAAAACATTGAGAAAATTAAATTGTGTAGAAAACTTTTAATCACAACAACAAACTGAATTAAACCACACCAAGGTTTTTAATCATTTAACAATCAACTAATTATTATTAAAATTAATATATTGAAAACTAAACAGTAATGTATTCATATAGTTTTGTAGTTACTGATTGAAATCAACCTTAATTATTACAATTTAAATTGTTTAAATGAGTTGATCGTAAAAGTTGATCAACACTTTGAGAAATTTATATAACAATTAACTGATTATATCATGATAACAATTTAGTTATTATTTGTTGTTGATCATCATCAACATTATCAGTAAATTGATTACAATCAAATGGAGGGTGAGGTGATACTTAATTGTGATTAATTGTAAATGGTCAGTTGATCAGTTGGTCAATTGTGATGGTGGTCAGTAGATTAAACAACCTACACATAATCATGATTAACTGATTATGGTTAATTTAGTTTTACCGAAAGTGATTGAATTTCAAAGATTCGTGAGCTTTCAATTCAATACTTTGAGTTAATTGTTGTAAAAATTTCAAACAAATTGATTCACAATTCACCTGATTAGTATAACAATTAACCTTAACTGTTAAAATATTATAACTTGAATATGAAATTTAGTTGAATTATTTTAACAACAATTAACCGATGATCAAACATTTACCAGCAATTAACAATTTCCCGATTAGACTAATCAATTTTTTTCAGCTCAATTAATCTAACAATTAAGGACATTCAGTGTACAATTTAATCATTGATTTTTCACTTTGATCAACAATAGTTAATATTGATGGTTTAGATTGTTGGGATTTTCTTACAACAATTAAAATTAACTAACTAATAACCATCAATCAACTGATTAAATATTAACTTTCATTTACTGATTTAAATCCAGAGCAATTTCAATTGAAATTAATTCACTTTTTAATCACAGAAAAGTTGATTAGTTTGTCTTTTTAACAATTTAACAATCATGATATTAATCAATCCCTTACTGGGAGATGAGGATTAAGTTAATTGTTAGTTTCTATTATGACAACAATTTAGTGTTACTTATTATATCATTTACAATGTATATTAATTTTAATTGTTCCCACCAAACCAAAATAAAAAGTTAATTACATTGAATTTAATCCTGATTAAAGTTTATAACTGAATCAGCATGATATTCATGATATCATTGCCTAATCATTAAAAGTTTGATAACAATTAAGCTTTTGATTGTTGATTAAAAATAGTTTCAACATTTTCAAACATGATCTTAAATAGTGATTAATTAGTTTTCATTAATCAATCAAAATTAACAAAATTGTAACAATTAAATATTAATACAAGTGATATTGATAAATATAATCATCGGTTTGATTGATTTTTACATTGAGTTGATAATAATATATATTAATTGTTACGGAAATCAGTTTGACAATAATCAAGAATCTGATCAATATTGATTGTAATTGTAATTGTGAATGTTAATTATTAACCATAAATGGATTTCATCATAATCATCACAATGATTTTTTAATGTGAAAGTTTAATTGTTACAATTTGAATGTATATTCAGTGGCTATTGTTATTGATGCGATTTTGTATTTAAGAATGAAAATTTTTTTCACCAACAATTAACTAATCATCAACCACTATGGTGATTATTTTGACTTGAATAATTATATAATAAGGAAATGGTTAAGTGAATGATTAACTTTCTCGCAATTATAATTAAGGTTTAGATTCAATTGAAGTTTTATTTTCAATTCAAATTTTGAATTTCACTTTTTTTGTAAGTTACAAGTTAATTGTTATGCTTATTGTGATTGTTGATTGTGCTTACAATGATTAAGCTGGTGATGATCAAGTTAATTGTAACTGTATCACTGATTACTTTTTAATCATAACCAAAAATTAAGGTAAAAAAAAAATGGTTACTTAAAATACTGTTGATGAATAACCAATGATGACAATTAACTTTGTCCATTCATGATTACGATTAACTTGATGTCGATTTGATTTAATTGTTATTCATAAACTTTTTTTTCTTCAACTCTGATTACAATCAAAATCTAACAATTAATGACGATGATGATGATCATAATTAAAGTTTAACCCAACTTACAGCTCGATATTCAACAATTAGACTAACAACAATTAAGATGATGAAATGATTTTGTTGAAACTTTCCAATGATGATTTAAACACTTTTTTACCTCAATTATGATCTCATTTTAATTGATGACAATTTACTAATTGTGAATTTACTGTATTGATATTCACCTACACATAAACACACAAATTGATTAACAATTAACACTTTTTTTGTTGATTGTTATTCACTTGCCCACTGATTGCCGGAAGTTTCTAGTTAATTCAAATCATCTGAATCAATCAATCAATCAACCATAATGTTGATCTGAAAAACAATCAGTTAAACATCAACAATCAAATGCTGTAAGTAAATT